TGTTTTCTTTTACTGTCTCGTTGGCCGAGTGGTCGCAAGTGCGACTACCAAGGCAAGTGGTCTGGGGTCGATTCCCGGGTTGAGGTTGATTACTGGGTTTGCACTGAGCACGGAGTTATAGGCTCACCCCCTATTACATGGAATTCATAACATGAATAGTGAAAAGTGGGTGTTACATTGTACACTGGCATAATGTACTCTGTGTGTTACATTGTACTCTGCCTACCCTTTCGGGGTTATAAGGCGTGATGTTTTGTTATGTTTTTTAGGGAATATAAATTAATATGTCTTATTGATAACTAACAGTTAACCTTTTGTTCTAGCGTTCATCATCTACTTCTCTCTTCTGGCAGCGTTCTTCTGGCTGAACGTGATGTGCTACGACATCTGGTGGACGTTCAGGTAAATTGTTGTTAATTACTCGTTATTTTTAGCTTGTTACAAATTTCAGAAAGGCGAAATATTGGTACTTCATCCTGTGTGTCATTGTGTTTCATTGATTTATCTGCACAATTAAAGCCGTGTAGTTATGTTACGTTAAATCACTGTCATTTATTTTTATATTCCTCTACACACACATAGAGGTACATAATTTAACGCCTGTCCCCCACGGGAGTTCATGGGATACACGCGTGAAGTGAGGCAGATAGCATGGAACGCCACTCAATACGATAGGACATACCTCTTTTGTTTTATCAACAGCCATCAGTTGTTCCATGCATGCTTGTCGGTTATGGATACTTTTAATTTGGGCCTTCTTTTATATATCTTGTCATTCGTTCTTGTTACAGGATATTTATTTACTTTTTCCTACCTACTGCTTAGGGCAATTAAGAGCTATGATTTTAATATTATGTTTATTTCTTCCTCCTTCCAGTGGCAAACGAGCTCATGGCCGCAGTGGTTCACAAAACAAGAGGTTTTTGTGTTACGCCATCTACGCCTTTGGAGTGCCAACGATCCTGACCATCGTTATGGCAGCTCTTGAATTCTCCAACATTCCTTTGCATCCTCTTCTGCCTAAACTTAGGTTACAAGGCTGCTTCTTATACGGTAAGAGTCATAACTAGTTTAATTTTACACAGCCTAATAACTATCTGAAAAGTTTTTTTTGTAATGCAAGCAGATCTTGGCGTAGTTACAACAGTAGCACTGAGTCTCGAAAAGCTATAACTTGTTCGAATCACAATCATGCATTATGATTTATTCTTATACTTAAGACTTTGACTGCCAATAAAAAACTGTTGAAGGTAAATCCTCCGCTAACGCCGGTCACCGGTGACCCCTATGGCGTGTTAATGATACTAAAGAAATTAAAGGCAATTCACTGATTGTTTTATGCCTATTTAGTATGTTGACGTTTGGCCGCTATCTCCTGGCATGGTGATAAGCGATGATGCTGCATACGATGCCGTCTCCTTATGTGAGTCATTTGAGAATATAAAGTAAAACGAAGGGACAAGATGTGGAATCGTCGAACAATAAAGAAAATGTGATATCTTCTAATAGGGCATAAAAATGACTAATGAGATTAGAGCAAATGTAAAAGAAGCAGAAAGATTTTCTAATCTAAGTTTCTAAATCCATAATGACTAAAACGTCAACAGATTTGCCTAAAGTAGTTTTTATAATTATATTCTGAAATGGACCATTATTTCGGAAGTTTCAAACACTATCTAAAACCACCAAATACATCAATAACTTAGTATGAACGCATTTCAGGAAACAGCAAATTGTTGTACTTGTATGGACCGATTGTGATACTCTGTGTGGCGAATCTGATCTTCTTCGCGCTGACTGCCTTCAAGATAGCAAAAATTAAAAAAGAAACCAAAATGCTGCGAGACAAGGAGAGCTCCACACATGACCAGGACAGAAAAGATACTCAAAGGTGAGTTCTAACAGAAACTAATTTTCTTATAGTAATTGTTAAAAAAAATCCGTAATAACATACTAATGATGTTTTTTGTTAAACTAGGCGAGCCGATGCAAAATTATTCCAACCATATTTATACTATTGATTAATTATACTGTCAAATACCAAGCGGTCACCGGTGACCGCAACCTATTGTTCTATAATTTTATTGTGTCTACAAAACCGGTACTCGACGAGTTAATTGAAATTGGTTTCACTTCACTTTTAATAACAGAGTGTGAATTATGAAGCGAGATTTACGAATATTAGAGTAAAAAACTCAAATCTAAAGTCTCGTGAAGCAATTCTTAATCAACTGTTGTTTTAATAGTCCCAAAATAAACGTGAGGCTAAAAATTCAATATTTTTAGAATGATGAACCGAGTCTAGCAGAAACTCTGGGTTAAACTAAAATAGCTTTTACGAGCGAGAGCATAAGAAATACCCTGGAAGTTTAAACCATTCTTCCACACATTAATTGTATAAACAATCTGGCTATGATTAATAAACTAATTTGTGTCTTAAAACTTGATTTATTTTCACCATTTTTATTTCTGTTTTATGTTTGTAAATAATATTATGTTAAGTTTACTAAAAACAATTTTATTGGGGCCAAAAGTTTGAAATTAAAATGTTCCAGGTTCACTCTCTACGTCAAGTTGTTCACTGTCATGGGCATCAACTGGATCTTGGAGGTGGTCAGCTCCTTCTACCCAGAAGCCGACGTGTTCTGGCAGTTCTCTGATGCTTACAACGTGCTCGTCGGTCTAATCATCTTCATTATCTTCGTCTGCAAGAAGAAGACTTGGAGAATGATCAAGAAGAGGTTCGTCACGCTTTATAATTGTCTCAGAAGAGGCAATAAGGGTGGTGGATTACTTTGACTTCGATAGCTTAACTTTGTTTCATTTTCATTTTTATTCTTGTTTCCCACCTTTCGTGTTATACACAACAATGCAAGTTTTAAACTGTGCGTATTACGTATACCAACGGTGCCGTGAAATATGAAGTAGTTCAACAATTTTGGAAAGGCGCTATTGTGCTATATTTGATAGTAAGACTTGACCAACGTTTGCATTTGATTTATTATTACGGTTTAAAGTTATTAAAATGTACCCTTACATAAGTTTTAACATGGTAATTGGAAGACTCAAATACGTTAGACCAAAACTATGAAAACGATTTATTAATGAGCTCCAGCAGACTGGACAATATGATATTGATGCATTTAGTAATTTAATTTAATTAATGTTACCAAAGACCTCATGATTGCATTTAAACAAGTACTTAAATATGTTTTTGTCAAACTATATTCCAAACTGTTCAAAATGTCCTAAGTTTGCCTCGTTCTGTATCCAGGATCAAAGACTATCAACGTTCCAAATCTAATAATACCCAGCAAGAGATAAATGGCAATAACAGACGACTAGCCCAATGGAGAACTCAACCAGATAGAACATCTAGTTTGGAAACCATTAGAACAACGGATGGAGAAAGAAGTTCGAGAAGCAATAAATCTGTTAACATAAATCCTCACTAGTTAACCGACAACGTCGTAGAAACTCCTGCACTGACAGAACCAGATGATTTCAAAGAAGATAATATTAATAAAATCAGTTATGATAAAACTAATTTGACAATACATTAATTAAAAGAAGAAGCAAAAAAGGCTAGAGTTGAAGGCTACACAGAAACAAGACTGGTAACAATATTAATAAAGACGTTAAACAAATGAATATAAAGGCAGAAATGGAATGTTTGGAATATAGTACGAGTGAAAAGGTACAGAAAAGTATTCTACACAAACAATAGATTAGGATCTAGTGAATGGTAGTCCTATACTAACTTTTGCAATGTGTTGGCAACTAATTGTGAGGGCTTGTGTTGGTAGTGTGTGGGTTGGAATTAGACTAAGATTTTTATAATATATAAGCTGTGTGTGTTAATTTACTTACTGAAATATAACTTTTATGAGAAACCAAACATAATGTTTATATTTTATGCACCGAAGGATATCCTATCTGCACAATTTGTTAACAAATTTGGTTTGGTTTGCACGGTTGAAATGAGACTTTAATTGTTACGGGTTTAGGTAGATTTTACATTAGAGGTGATCGAGAAAACAAGGCGGGTGGAGGAAGATGACTAGAAACTAGCGAACTATACAAAGTACGTAGTTTGTTGCTGACAATAAAATTAAAAGCATCGACATGTTTCGCTTTGTTTTGAGGATTTTCTGTGACACAAGCTTTATATTGCTTCTTTTCAATGTATAATTTTAAAATATTATATTTAATTTAATTCGTGGTCTTGAGTATAACTGTATATTATTGAAAAATTGTTATGATCACTTTAAATCTTACATAATAAAAACCTTATGCTATTTTGTGTAATTGGGTACTTTCCTCAATAAATAATATGTTATTTAAACTATTCAAAACGATAAAATAATAATCACACTTTCATTAGTTCGTTTTATGACCTACTTAATTATAGTATTTTTTCAGCAGATTTTTAAGAAATAAATATGCTGTTTGACGCTAAAAAAACGTGACGTCACAAAACACAATCTCGTACAAAGTTCATAGAAAGCTGTCGTTTTTGACAGTTCGAAAAAAGTATTGAATTTGACTAGTTATGGCGCGTACGCGCGTAGATAAAAATATATAATAGGTAGATACAGGTAAAAAGTAATTCTGTAATTTATATGTATCCCATGTTTGTATAGTTTGTAGCTTCAAGTTTGCCCCATTGTGTTTGCTAAGTAGATTTATGGTAATCCGTGGCAACGTCGTGAGGAGTGTATTTGTTAAATCTATTATTTTACTATATTTAATATACTGCTGTTTGTTGTCCTTGATAAATAAAAATAAAAATAAAAAAAAGTACCCAATTACTGTTTTCGTAAGTTTTGACCGATCATTCTTCATTATATTGTAATTGTCATTATTTTATGACTTCAATATGTTACTATATTTTTTAATACGTCATTGAGTTGTATTGTTTAAAAGTAGTATTGACGAGCTACTAGTCAAATACGAGTTTTAATTTAATTAGTTGTAATATAATTAAAAATACAAGGATTGACGTCATTGTTATTTTTCCTCGACCAAACTTCTCATTTGCATTGAAACAAGTAAATGAATGAGATTGTGCACAAAAATATTTTTCATGTTTTTTTATATATTTATATTACTCCAGGCCATTACTGATTATATAATTATATATATACTATATATATTGCAACAATATACCTAATATGATGACGTTTTTGCATTGTTTTGCTTTTAATGTCTGCTCTTTTTTGTTGTGTATAACAATTCTTGAAATATTGTCTACTTAGGGTCGATTTTTCAATGCTCATATAAAATAACTTTGAATATTTGACAATTATTCCATACTAAAAACTGTCAAATGTCAATTTTATTCTACATTTAAGAGTTAACTGACGATTGAAAAATCGACCCTAATGCGTTTATTATTTACTTTCATTATAAAATTAGCACAACCGTTCTTGATTTTAATACACTATATTTGGACAAGTTTATGTCCAACATTGGGCGACAACTGACAATGATTAACATGATTATATTGTTTTTATATAATCTGCTATAAGCCTATTTCTAATTGAAATTAACCTGTGACATACGAGCAATACGGCCTGTTTTTACTGTGCCATATAAAATTTAATTCCATTTCGAATACATATAAAATGGAGTAACACTTCTAAACACATTTATAAATTATTTTGAAGAAAACCAATTTATTTCATTAAAAATCTTAATATATAACTAATACGCCTAGGTTTTACTGTACGTTTACTAAGACAAAAACTACATACTTGCCTAAAAAGCGATTATAACATGAATGGCCTTAAATAACGACTTTGCATAATAATAAATGCGTTAAATGTTTTTAACCACTGTTGCTAATAAAGACAAGGATACACTTAGGCATAAATGTTCCGCGACATGTTGCCAGTGGCATCATGTTGTGTTCCTCACGACACGCGACGCGTCATTTGACAAATGCATGCAACCTACAAATAATAATAGGCGGCTTACTAATGGCAAATACTTGCATCTTAATGAGAATCAATGAAAACTGTCCACGAAGAGGCAGCGTTGCGTCACTCACTGCCCACCTTTCGTCATTTGGAGATTCCATGCATTCATCGAATGACGCGTCATTGACAGTAGGCTGAAGTGGCACGATATCCCGTCTTATAGATATCGAAATCATTCTACTTCTCATGATAGGTCACATATTTTTATGTCATGAAACATTTTCCCTTTAGTGTATTCCTGACTTTAGCATGATCTGCAGTTCTACCTTAGTTGTCTATCTGTAACTGTTAATGTTAGAGGAACGAAACCAATGTGGATATTGATCAACATTGATAAACAAACGAAAGCCCATATATTTGTTTTGTTTTTTCTATAATATTATCAATTTACAGATAGTTAATTTGGGTACCTAAGAATTCTGTTAAAGATATTTGAGACTAACTTTTTCTTTTGTGTACAGATACAGACAACTGCGGGGTGATACTTCAAAGTCAGGGACGCAGACCACGTCATCCTCTACTCGGACACATTCCACATCTCGCGATGATATGCAGATGCACTCTGTTAAGAAGTAAATAAGTTTCAAAGTTCTATAACTTATTTAAAATTTAAGAGCGCGTGTGAAACAGAAATGCTGTTGTCATAACATAAAAGACGCAATTGCACTAGAAAATTCAGTACCTTATTAAATACGGGCTACCTATTTTCGAAGGCCTCTTATGGCCATTTTAACCAATCACCCTTAAACTGTCACTTAGCTGAAAGTTACTTGGCATAGGGTAGCACTTAAAATAACCCTTTACAACATTAAATGTTAACTATTTTAGCTTATTATATAAGGATTTTTTATTTTCAGAGAGGTTGGCAAACACGGGGGTTAGACGTTTATCCGTATAGACTTTATAAAAAATCACAAAACAAACATGGGACCAAATGATAAATATTGTCGAAAAAAAAATATACATCATTTTCGAACTTAATTAAAAATTTTAATTGCGTCTTTTCTGTTCAGTGACAAGAAGAAATGTATTCGTTGTTTTTTTAAATTGTCCACTAGGCTTCTGATGTTGCAATTTTTGTCATTATGCGAGTACAGCGCTTATAGAAGTACAGTTTATTGTTAGGTTAAACGAAGGATAACCGAACCTATATATATTTGGGTTAACTCGTAAATCTGATCGTTTACCCTCACAACCTGTATATAAAATGCTTGGCTCTCTGTTTCACGAACGCCTCAAGGTCGTTGTTTGAACAATGAGTGTAATCTTGTCTATTAAATATTTTTTTCTTAGAATTGCTACTGTAACGCAAGAGTTAAGAAAAATTAACAAAATATGCCTAAAACTTGCCTTGACATAAAATTGTATTGTTGTTTTGCATATAATTAACTTAAAAATTAACCTATATATACCTTTATATATAATATACAGTACATTTAATTAAACTTGGCCATACAAAAATGTAATGTTTATTAAAAAGCGATAATATTCGGAAAGACAACCTGAACGTTTTGTTACAAGATATTTTTAGAAGTAGTTAAATTATTTTTATCGTGAACATTTTGTGTAAAAACACTCTCTATAGATATTGCTAAATTAAAATTTTTATCATTGTATAGTTGAATGTTCAAATGTTATACTGTTACAATATTTTATTGGTGTATTAATGTAACTGCACGGTTGGCGCCGTTGGTTGAGTGACCGGCTGCTGTGCAAGGTATCGCGGGTTCGATTTCCACGCCGACCTAAAAGTGGTAGAATCTTTTAAGTAGATTTTCTAAGCCTGAAGACAGGAAGTTCGGCGGTGTTTAACCACGTGGTCTCGGAAAGCACGAAAAGCCGTTTGTCCTGCGCCTGATCTCTCGCCGGTCATGTCGGTCTGCCGTCCCATCGGGTTCAGAGAGTGAGGGACAAGGAGAGTTCACCTGTGTTGCTCACACACTTGTGCACTATAATGTCTCCTGCGTAGTGGGCTAGTCTAGTTAGTCTGACCATCATGATCGAAATCGTTATTATTAAGTATATAAATATAATGTCAAGCACATTTTTACTGCATGTGGTTTTACACCTCGATGTATCTTAATGAAGAGCATGAAAAAAACTTATATGATAGCATTTATTAGTTATTAATTGCGTAATAGTAATGCCATAATTGTTTTTATTATTGTTAGTGGAATAAATGTAATATAAGTTTATGAAAATTATTTATGTTGTGGTCGTTGCAGGCTCCCACCTTTTAAAACTATCACTTAACTAGAAATACAAGTTTTTTTATGAGTTAAGCCGACAAACAAGCAGACGGATCACCTGATGGTAAGCAATCGGCTTCGCCCATGGACACCTGGAACACCAGAGGCGTTACAAGTGCGTTACCGGCCTTTGGGGATTGTTGGGATTCAGGGATTGGGGAGATTCTAAAGCGTTGTATCAAATCGATTTTCTGTGAGGCCGTGGTATCACTCCGGTCGAGCCGGCCCGTTCGTCTACTGACGACATTTACTTTTTTTCTGTAGTAGGTATGTTGCTGCAACACGATAACCACGTACCATCAGGTGGGCCATGTGCTTATTTTGCCTCCGTCGTGGTATAACAAAAAGAAAAAATATACGGCGACATTTTACGTAATTTTTACCTACAATCTTTTTAGCGCCTGTTTTATCACCTGATTCATATAAGTACCCTATAAACTTATGTGACAGATAGTTTATACTTTCGTTCTTAATTCGAATTTTTATTTTATACATATGTACCTACATAGCAGCTATCCAGGTATTATGAAACCGGTCTTTAGCGTGATCAGTTTAAAAGCAGCTATAGTGTCGTAAATATTTTCGTTTTCATTCGATATCTGGTTTTCGGAAACATTTAAAATGAATCACTTCGTAAATATGTTAGTATTGACATTCAAAACTCGTGTCTTCATTTTTTAATATTCATGGAGGTTTGTTATCTTTAACTATTTTCATTTTAAAAAGAGGGACGAATGTTTTTTTTAAATAAAAACCACTCACTCGGTAAGTTATGTAGGTATTTGATCTCAAAAGTATGGCTGCTAAGCTGCTGAATAAAGAAAGTACGCAGTAATAAGACTTATCAATAGTATGAGCATAAAACGATTGTCAATTCTATTGTTTCATTATAAGGATGATATTTCAAATGAAACCGATTTTCACATAAGTCAAATCAAACTAAATTATTTCCAATAGGTCAGTATGTGAGAGTAAGATATGCGTTTATCAAAGTACCTATATTTTTTTTTATCGTCATATTTCGTATTAAGATATCTACCATATATTTAGTACCTACATGCATAATATACGTCTATTACGTAAGACTATTACAAGAGCAAATATAGAAGAAAACATTTTATGACTAATAAATGTATTTTATGAAAACATTTTTTTTATTTTCCATTCTATTCCCATAAAATATATAATGCCCAAAAACTCCAGGTAATAAATACCTACGAAGGAAGCTTTATTAAAACTTATTGTTTACACCTAGTGGTATGAAATGGCATTTTTGAAATCTCAAATCTTCGAGACAGCGTGTGGCACGCTGTTGTTTCAGGGCTGCGGAGAACCGCAAAGGTTACCGTGGCTCCGACTACTCGAATTGCTAACTGCCAGCTACCGAACGGGTAGGGACGGGGTAATTTTTTAATTTTGTAATTGATGGGCCGACATTGACTACTTTTTTTTTAATGGGACAAGCCCGCCACAACTTCCCAAAACCGCTGCAACTCCTCTAAGCCAGGATCTACAGTAGATACAACCATGAATACACCGACTTTTGACTACTGACTCGCCTGGTGGTAAGCAATGATGTGATCTAAGGTGGAGCACGTCGACCCACATAAGCAACCTATTGACTCGAGCCTTGAACATACCCAAGTTATATTCTTCAGGAAACACAAACATGCTCTGGCAAAGAATTCCACCAGCAGCACACGGAAGCTTGGTGCTAAGTGTTTCGTGCTTCGCTTTTTAGTCAGTAAGAGTATGACACTCACTCTCATCTCGCCCACAGCGGGAGGAATAACTCAACTACTTTCCCCCTAAAAAGGATCATGTTTTAGGTTGCTCTACAAATATAACTTACTAAGAATGTACCACCAATCAGCCTAGCGGAATCCAGAACTCGGATTGCAGAAATGTCTCGTAACATGCAGGTTGCCTTCGCATACGGTATGATTGATCCTTTAACAAATAGAACCTATTAAGTAAAATCGCGGGTTACTCACGTGAATATACTGAGAAAAGCTCTACTAGTTTCGAACCACAGAAGGGTTCTTCCTCATGAGCGCGACGTTGCCGCGACCACGCACGCTCTGTGGTTCAAAACTAGTAGAGCTTTTCTCAGTATATTCACGTGAGTAACCCGCGATTTTAGTTAATTTAGCATGTCTCACGATAGTTTTTTTAAAATAGAACCTATTGTTAAACGATGGGCACAATTTTAGACAAGATAGTAGTGTCGTTTGCTGGTTGTTAATACTCAGTTTATTATATTTGTCTATCTTTAACGCTGCTACGGAGTGTCTGGGAATAGTGGAAAGGCTAGAGAGTGTTATAGTCTTCGTCGCAGGCTGATGATGAGCGAGAAAAATAATCATACAGTGTGCACGGGGGCCGCTAGACCAACGAATTAGGTTTTCCTACTACTAGTAACACGCTTGGTGTTACTCTAGTCTACGTAATAAGTAGTACTAGTATATATCATATCTGTTGACAATATTTGAAATAATATTTTACGATTTTAAGTAATTAACCGACTATGAAAACTGAAGGAGATAGGTAGGTGTATCAATAAAACCACAAAAAGGGAGTTGAAGTCGTTGTTGTTACAAACGTAGTTGTATAAAATTATTATTATACATGACATTATTTAATTGTGGAAATATTCAAAGAATATAAGGTATGCCATTCTGTTATTCACTTTATTTTTTATTTTTATGATAGTAAGTTAGAATGAATGTATTTATTTATGCTAAAAAAAGGAGAACGTAGGTATATTGTTGAAATAACAACACATTGGACCGGACTGAATTATTATGCTACAATTTTGCATAATTAGATAAAGTCTAAAGTTAGCTTCTTAGTCGCACATTTATTATAATAAGGATAATACAAAGGAATAATCTAGTAGAATTATTATTATTTTTCATTCTATTCTCATACAACGTTTGCTATAGGTAGACAGGTGATCATGTGATCGTAAGAGCAAAGCAAGATACGGGTTCTATTCTCAATTATTGAGGATTTAAAAATCTTAGTTCCAGCACGATGTCTGGAATAGAGTAGTCGACTAATTTTTATTTTAATGTCCGTCTGGTAGATTATTTTAAATCATTACACACGTATTTTTTATTTTCTTACAGAAACGAATACTTTCCACGATATATTGATTTGAAATGTCGTGTGACGTCACTTTTATGTACATTTTATACGTAGAAATGACGTTTTAGCCCCCACTCCTAAAGTTTGATTCGTTTTATCTAAGTATTGTTTTATTATACGACAAAATACGTGTCTAATATTTTTTAAATACCTAACTTATGGACTAATTACATTTTTAATTTTCATACCCTGTCGTCATCCCAATTGTACTTGACGTGTTCCAATAGGCTGACCGAGGATTACATAAGACACATAACTGAACTGGTGCGTTGTTTGTATGGCGACAAAACTGAATGGTTCAGTGTACCTTTGCCTACCACATCGGGATTAGAAGGAGTTACCTTACACTATATTTATTCTTAAAATATAGTTTCGTTTCAATATTAAAAGCCGTTTAATTGTAATTAGGTACACTATGATAAATAAAATAAATTATATTGCTTCTTCTGCTAGCAGCTTCGCCCGTGTTAGACATTCCACACCGTGTTCCAAAATTTCATCTCGATTTCTTCAGCCGTTTTGATCTGAAGCAGTAACAAACAAATAAACAAACATACAAACTTTCGCATTAATACTACAAGTAGGATACGTATTCGATAACGACGTAATATCAATAGTTCTTTTTAAAGAAATTCAATAATATCAATAGTAGTCGGACCACATCAGGTTGAGTCTATCTATACATACATGAAATAATATCATGAGATGATTTTTGTCTAAGTTGCTACGAGAGTAGTATTCAAATATATATCATTCGCGACGGTAGTTTAAAACATGTAATATACGAAAATACGACAATGTGGATTCATGTTGTGATTGTGGCTACAATAATTATACGTGTACATACCGTGTCGTACTGGATACCGCATTCTACCTCTATGTTTGATTACTTAGACTCTTATGAAGATTACGAAGATTTTGATTATGACTATGCAAGTGCACCTGAATCCAACGAAACACCAGTGAATATTCCAACACCTAACAATTATAATAATACATTTAACCATTCGTCTTCTGTAAATATTACTGAACCTTATTTAAACCAGAATAATGAAACAGACACAAAAAATAATGAGCCTGTCAAATTATATAACAACAATACACTACATAGTGATGCTGGCTCACGAGTAAATAATACTGTATTACAGAACAATAATACTGACTCACCAGTAAATAATTTAGGAACACAGAACAATAATACTGACCCACAAGTAAATCATTCAGGAACACAGCACAATAAAACTGGCTCACGGGTAAATAATTCAGGAGCACTGAGCAATAATACTGACTTACGAGTAAATAATTCTGGAACACAAGACAATAATTCTGATTCACGAGGATATAATTCAAGAACACTGAACAATAATACTGACGTACGAGTAAATAATTCTGGAACACAGGACAATAATACTGACCCACGAGTAAATAATTCTGGATCACTGAACAATAATACTGACCAACGAGTAAATAATTCTGGATCACTGAACAATAATACTGACTCACGAGGATATAATTCTGGAACACAGAACAATAATACTGACTTACAAGTAAATAATTCTGGATCACAGAACAATAATACTGACTCACGAGTAAATAATTCTGGAACACAGACCAATAATACTGACTCACGAGTTAATAATTTTGGAACAAAGAACAATAAAACAAACTCACAAGGAAATAATTCAGAAACATTGAATAATAAAACTGACTTACGACTAAATAATTCTGGAACGCTGAATAATAATACTAAATCACGAGTAAATACTACTGGCTTACAAAATATTAATTTAAATTCGCGACTAAATAACGCCACAAATTTACCAAAACTCTCTGCAATGAATTGGAAGGAAGAGCTTACGTTCCGACATAATAATAGAAAGACTAGTCGTAAAAAAGGACCAATTCGTTACGGTAAGTAAGTACACAGCAAGAGCTATTAGCGTTACTACTAGTATGTAGGTAGCCTATCATCATTTTTATAAATAAGATTCATTATATTTACATAATAACTTGCTATAACTAAGTTAGACTGCCTCATTGGCCTAGTGGTCGCAAGTGCGACTGCCGGGCAAGTATTCGGGCAAAGTATTCTTGGGTTTTTCAAAAAATTCACAGTAGTAGCATGGAGTCTGGAATTGTGTCCCGTATATGGCAATAGGCTCACCCCCTATTACATGGGACTCATAACATAAATAGTGAAAAGTGGGTGTTACATTGTACAGTAGCATAATGTACACCCCTGCCAATGCCAATAAAAGGCGTGATATTATGTTATGTTATTAACTAAGTTGGTGACACTATGAATATCGAATAATTTATTATTAAATAAATGGTTTCTCAGATAATATTGTACGCTTGTGCCCCAATGACACCGTATGCCCAAGAAAATGCTGTAAACTAGGAGAGAATTTTGACATTCTGAACAATGTATGTAGTCCAGCAGAAAGCAGTCAAAATGAGTTTATTCCACCTGTATGGGACGAATACACTGAACTGAGTAAATTTGATGTGAAAAACAAATTGAAATTCTCGCCCGGACACCATTTATCGTGTTTGAGAAAGTTAAAAGAGGAACAGAAACTTGTGACTGACATTACCAAAGTATTTCGACTCAGATCTGTAAGTACAGTTGCTATATATGTTCTATTGTATAAATTTCCAAATATAGGTTGATCAATTGACACCCATTATGCAATATTTAACATTTAAGTGGAGAAACTGGATTTGTTTGGTGAATGTCACGGTATCGTGATATGAACCTGTTACACCAGTCGGTCTGTTGTTAAACCTGTGTGGGTATAACTAAACTATTTTTTATTAGTATCCTATATTATTAGTAACGTATTTTGTATCTCGTAAAACAAAATAATCTAAAGAAAAGGTTTTCATAAGTTCTAATACGTTCCATTTTCAGGATGGTAAATTGGAAGTGGAGAGCCCTTTGGCGATTGGCCAAGAACTTATTTATGATCCAGGCAAATACTGCATTGACATGTTTATTATGTCGCAAAATAAAACCAAGTTGAACGCTTTCATTTGCCACGTCCATACGGAAATAGAGAAATACCACTTAACGGTGACCGGTTCTTGTAAGTTGGAGTACATTGTGACATTATTTTATTTAATCAATCCAAAATGAAAATGCTAAAATAAATCATTTCCAGGTTACTTGGTTACTTGTTTCTTCGTTGTCCTGAGAGTTTCCTTATTCGCGTGGTTGCCAGAACTTCAAACACTTCACGGTGTGACCATTATAGCGTACCTCGGAAATTTCGTGGTGGGTTACATGTTGTTGGGAATTAAGAAACTGTTCATGTTCAAAAATAATATCAGTCGGAAAATATGCGTCGTTTTAAGTGAGTTGTCATTTTATACATATTTATTTATAAAATTTCGTGTAATCAGTCGTGGTGGCTTGGCGGTTAAGACGCCCGGTTCTCGTGCATGTGGGCTCGGGTTCCAAACCTACCAACGGCAAGTACCAATGTGACTTTTTCCAAGTTATAATTACTTTCTAAGATTATTTAGACACCACTGACAAACGGTGGAGGAAAACATCGGGAGGAAACCTGGATTTATCATGTTTAATTATAAGTTTGAAATCGCCAACCCGCAATGAGCAAGCATGGTGATTAATGCTCAAACCTTCTCCGTGTGAGAAAAGGCTTTATTCAGCAATGGGCATTTATAGGCTGTTGATGATGATGATGATTTAACCAGTTTATTTAGTACTTCAACCGTAATTAGCAAAGTTACCATGTCTGGTATAGTTGTATGGCTACACAACTTTATTATTTCAGGTGTCATTACCTACTTCAGCATTATGTCTGCATTCTTCTGGCGTAACATTATGTGCTTCGATATGTGGAAGACTTTCAGGTAAATATTGTCTATTTAAAAAATCTATTTAAGACTTTGACTGCCAATAAAAACTATTGAAGGTAAATCCTCCGCTAACGCCGGTCACCGGTGACCCTCATGGCGTTTAACGTGTTAAGAAACTAGCGTTGGATAATGTCATAATATACGCTTTCAGTGGCAAGAACACCATTTCAAGAAAGAATCAAATCTCCCGACCACGTTTAGCTGCATACTTTGCCTACGCGTTCGGTGTCCCGGCAGGGCTTACTGCTATACTTATTGGAATGGAGTTCTCGGATATTTCCAAATTTCATCCTCTGAAACCGAAACTTCGATTAAATGGCTGCGCCGGCATGAGTGGTATGTACCTTATCAGAAACAGTACCTTATTTCTTTTCGCCTATGTAACTATACAACAACTTATGCCTGTTTCACCAACGTATAAGTGACCCCTAACAATACACGTAAGAGGTCTGTTTAAGTGCTAGGTCACGGTAAGTGGTGGTAGTTAGGTGATTGGAGAAAATGGACATTAATGCCACAGCCACACATCTAACTACACATGTAACTAGTTAGTTGCCGTTAACACGTGGGATAAAGAAGGACCCCGGTGTGGTTCGAACTTATTTGGACAAACGTAACTAATTCTAGTAGGAGTAGACAACATGAATATTTGTAGATATAGTGAGGTCGGAAAAAAATGTGCCAAAAACGAAATATCGGAGGACAATATACGATTTGAACTCTGCCTATCATTCGAGCTTTTTGGGGAGGGGTAAATCCTTCAATGACTTCTACAGCCTCTTACTGACTATAAACTACTCCGTTCTTACTTCTGCTCTTCAAGCTGGAGCCCCGGTAACCCATTAATTCATCCGCGGCTCCGTATCGGTATCAGCCCTATTGGGTCCTACCTATGGAAGTCTGATATCATTCGGGCCTTAAGAATGGTTATTAGGCCATTGTCGTAATCGTCAAACAACACAATAAAGGACTGCTTTTTGTGTTAAACGTGGAGAAAAAGTTTTATGGTTGTTCCCAATCACTCCTAAACTGTTACTTAACTAATAGTTACATAGTGTGAGAAAGCATTTAAAGTAATCCCTTACTTGTACTGTTAGGTGTCACTTACACTTTGGTGAAAATCAAAATATTATTAAATGTAACCTATTACTGCTAAGCAGTTCTTTAACATGTTGGTGAAAACTGTCATTCTACGTTTTTCTACAAGTAACTCGATGATATATTTACTTCTGGTTACAGGCGATGGCGCGCTAGTCTACCATTTCACGCCATTAATCACCCTATTCTTCGCCAACATAGTAATGTTCACTTCAACGGCCCTGAAAATAGCAGCGACAACAAAACAGACCAAAATTTTATACCAATCACAGAATAATGTAACCAATGCTATAAACACTGAAAGACAAAGGTAAATTATCAGACTAGATCAAAATAGATCTACTTAATTATAATTATTATTTATATCTTCACCAATCACGGGACCATAGAATCCTGGTCATTTGGGAGGCGTATGAAGGGCCGAGTCCAACTGCGTAGAAGCCCTTTAGACAACTTTAAACTATCAAACACCAAGCGGTCACCGGTGACCGCAACCTATTGTTCTATAATTGTGTCTTTAATGACGGTACTCGACGAGTTAATCTATATGCAATGGGCCACAAACCGGCGACTATCCCTGTATGCACTATAGAAATACACCCAATGATAGTCTCCGGTTAGCGTAAAACTGTTATAGATAATGGAATATAGTTATGGCTATGGATGAGTTTAGTTGGACGTGTAAATTATGATGACGATTATGGCACGACTATGGCACCAGCCGAATCAATGTAAGACTACGCGTAATATTGGCAGGCAGAGACTCGCCAACTCACCGATCCGGCCCCCGGGAATGCTTACTAGATGTATCAAAAGAGGGATGAAAATGCGAGTGACTGAAGGGTGAAGGAACAACCACCGCTTTCTACCCAAAACACCTGCTCCTGCAGAAGCACCTTGCATTTCGCGATTAACGAATAGTTTCTTACTCTGTGAGCAGGATCACTGCTCTCGCGACTCCGCTCTAGACGTCCAATGAAGCCAAGCCAGAAGTTTGAGACGTTCCTTGTCATTGTTCACTTCAGCAAGCCAATTAAGGCAATTACTCGGGATGATGGTGGTCCGCGAGGTGGCTAACGCCCGTCTTCACTATTTTAATTTGAAACATTATTAATATTGAACATACCGCAACCTACATCACTATGCTAACCACGCACTTATGAATTTTAATTTTATTTACCTTTTATTGAAAAAAATATGAATATGATTATTAAAACTAAAACAGTGAAAAAAGGACGATAAGAAACTAAAAAGCCCACCCAACCCAAAGTATTCATCTGCATCTGAAGAAAATAGCTAGGCTATTATATTTTTCTTTTTGTTTTTAGGTTTTTACTTTACGTGAAACTTTGGGCAGCCATGTTGATCCTGGAAGTAAACTGGATAGTAAGGGCAGTGGTTTATTTTTTCCCAGAAGTAGAAGTTCTAGTCTTCTTCGTCGACATATATAATACAACGGTCCTTCTAGGAATAATAATCCATTACTTCTGTCAAAAAAGAAATTGGAAAAAAATTAAAAGGAGGTAAGTGTGAACGGATCAGCAGAAACCATAGAATAGGAAAAAGAAACAGGAACAAACTCATTAAAATATAAAGTCTTCTACACATTACATGTTATAAAAAGTAAAAAAGATAAAAAAGTGTTCATAATATGTCTTCTTCTACATCACTTCTATACCTAATTCGTGTAGTTTTTAGCTCTTCGTAGAACTTTGGTAACAACGGTCTGAATTTAGGATGTCTTTAGACACCTTAAAATGTATATAGAAATAAAATCAATTTTACAATTTCAGATACCAACAAATGAGAGGAATTGCAGTATCTGAACCGAATACAGGAACATCAATAAACCGTACAACATCAACCATAAGCTTAGAGGTGTCACAAACATCTGTCAATAACACAGTTACATCCAACTGTGATACAAGCCCTCTATAATGTAGTAAATAACCCTTGCTGTGGTAAGACCACACACTCTTTATTTATGAAAGAGATGAACCTAATAAGTTAACCTTTACAGTCTATTCGGGCTGTTCTCGGGCGAAGGTTTAAAAGAATTGTACTATGTAAGGCTTTCCACAAAATTAGAAAATTCTTATCGTCTGTTTTATGTAACTTTGGAAGGGTGTAGAATAGTAACGTATAGGACATTAATTATCGATATTCATAATTATATACATCTATGTATTCATTATCGGACTAATTGTATAGCGAGTGACTTGTAACTCGAAGTATTCCTCTCAGGAGCTTGAGGAGGTGATAATAGTAACAGGGCTAATTTTGTAGAATATTCAAAATTTTGTTCAAAGTCACCTTCCCTATAATGAATACGTTCCCGCACACGCTTCCTTATCTCTGTGACGGTAACTTTTAAACTGAATGAGCGTCATATTTATTCAGTCGCTTCAATTATTTTTCCGCGAAGAATTTCAATAGACGGAATTAGCGTTGCAAAATAAGGGACTTCATGTGCCCACACGTAAAATCAACTTAGGTAGGAAATTAGTTGTATTATTACCCCCGAAGAATACTTCGAGTTACAAGTCACTCTATATATGTATAAATAAAAATGTTCAAACAATTCTGTACGATACTAAGTGGATGGCTGACAATGCACAGTCAAAACTAAAGAAACTATGATACTGTATATTACAAAGAATATACCATATATAAGCGGAACTTTAGAATCATTTGATGGTTGATTATATAGTGCTTATTAGGAGATAGATTTTATATTTAACTGCGCGTTTTGCGCGATGGTTTGGCAACTAGCTGCCGCACAACGTGTCGCGGGTTCGATTCCCGCTCGGAACAACTCTTTGTGTTAGCCACAGATTGTTGTTCCAGGTCTGGGTGTCATGTGTATGTGGACTTGTATGTTAGTAAAACGCACCCACGACACGGGAAAAAATCCTAGTGTGGGGCAACGTTTTTAAAAATAAATACTTAGGAACGTATTTGTTGGCATACGCTACGAAATACGACAAAATAGTTGCAATGAATAAGTTATAATACCATTCACTTTACGAATTATAATAAATATTATAAGGAAATCGATGTTATTTAATTTAAGCACACTTGATCTCAGTATTATATAATAATATTATATACGTACCTACAAGTAGTTATTTACTAATAAAACCTAATATACTTACTGATGTACTGGAAGGTTTGGTTTCGATAAAACCCTTACAGATAATTAATTAAACAATATTGTTGCTAGAATTAATTTGTTGTTTAATTTCAACGGAAATGTACCTTCTTTAGCCAATCAGAGATATCTCTATGAAAGGGCGCCCACATACTAACATTACGGAAGCTTAAATAAGTCTAAGAGACTAATGTAGCTTATTAGATTATTTGACTGCCTCGTTGGCCGAGTGGTCGCAAGTGCGACTGCCGAGCAAGGGGTCTCGAGTTCGATTCCCGGGTCGGGCATAGTATTACTGAGTTTTATCAAAAAATCTCAGTAGTAGTGCTATTACTGAGATTTTTTGATATGGAGTCTGGAAATGTGACCGGTATATGGCAATAGGCTCACCCCTAATTAGTGGGTGTTACATTGTACAGTGGCATGAAGTGCCGTAATGTGCACCTCTGCCTACCCCTTCGGGAATAAAAGGCGTGAAGTTATATTATGTTATGTTATGTAGATTATTTGTTTGCCTGAACGCGTTAAACTTCGGAAATGCTGATTCAAATTAAATAGACCATTTTTACTCCATTAATGGCGCTGCCAAGCAGTACTACTTACCGAGGTTTTAAATATGCTTTTTGAAAGTATAATCAATATACGGGGTGGTTGGTGCATCGTGTGCCAAATTGCAATGGTCGACTGAAGGGGTCATCTGTTAGTCTTTCAAGCCTTTAACACCCGTCACCGTAAAAATACACCTATAGTTTTCAAAGTTTCACTAAAAAGACACCAAAATTAAACATTAAAATACAAATTTTAAAAAATGCATAAAGCTTAGACTCTGAATTTGAATTTCAATAAAAAAATACATGAAGGATGTTAACGGGCTTGAAGGGCTAGCAGATGACCCCTTCCGTTGACCATTTCAATATACACTTTGCACCAAAAAACCTACACAAAAATATAAGAATTCATATGTTTTTATAATAACTATCGTAAGACATACTAAATTAACTAAAAAATTAACACCGCCGTGACCGCGCACGCTGCTCATGGGGAAGAACCCCTCTGTGGCTCGAAACTAGTAGAGCTCTTCACAGTATGTTCCCGTAAGTAACCAGCAATTTTTAGTTAATATAGGAATTTATAATATGACTAGTTGCTCCTTTTGGAAGTAAAAGTGGAACAGTTATGTAACGTCTTTTTATTTTCTGGAAAGTTACGCTCTATTCTAATAAAGTCTACTTAATTTACGATGGCCAATATTAGTATTAGTATTTTATTTTATTTTTTTTTTGAAAATTGAACTTTTTATATTTTAGTGCATAAATTATTATCGAATATTAATATATACGTACAACTTGAAATATGAATAATTTAAAACTTAAATATTTACACCTTAAAAAAAATATATCATAAGGCATCAAAGAAAACATTTGAAAAATCTGTCCATATTTTATTTACATTAAATCAGTAAATAATAAAGAGGAAGATAGAAACGGGTTCGTGTTAATATATCGTTAAAATGTTATTGTGAAGGCCAAAATGTCATTCAAACATGTTTTTATAGAAGTATGTAAATTGTTACACAATTATATATGTATAATATTCGGAAACCGGCTGATTTCACGGTTGGTAGCGTGGCTGGGCAATCGGCTGCCGTGCAGCGTGTCGTGAATTCGATTCCCACACGAAAAACACTTTGTGTGATCCATCAATTTTTGTATCGAGTCTGGGTGTCATGTGTATGTGAATTTGTTCGTAAGCGCACCCACGACACAGGAAAAAACCCTAGTGTGGGGAAAGTTTAAAAAAATATGTGAATACGTCTTATTATTCATCGTATTAATAAATACTTTTGTAGTCCTAGAAAACATTACTAGAATAAAATTTTAAATTAAATACGTTAATACAGTTCAGACCGCAGTGCAGGTCACGTACCGGCCAGCACATTGCCGGACGTCTATCCAGGTGGACCGACAACCTCATATTTAAAGTGCAGGAAGCTGCTGGTCACTTCCAATCGGCCAACTTGAAACAAAGATAATAATTTTACAAACTACGTTTAACAATACCGACGTCAACCCCTCTGTTTTCGAAGTCGGTTAATTATTACTAAAACCTTTTCCTAATTGTAACGAACACTTTTCTGAAAACTGCATTAAAATCGGAGCAGCCAATTGCGAGATAATCGCTCACAAATATACATACACACAGCTTAAATTGAGAACCTCCTCTCCTCTTCCTTTATTTTTCTTTTTGAGGTCCATTAAAAAGACTTTTTATTAAATAAAATACGAGTGACAAGTACGAAGTAATACACTGTAGTAGTAGAATCGCCAGCAGAACACCCTTCTCCAATATGTCAAATTCATTCATTGGATTTTTTATTTTATATCAATATACGATAAGGTTGAAGATAACATAATTAAACGCCTTTTATCCCTCATGACCCCTTCAGGCAGAGGTGCATATTACGGCACTTAATGCCGTACAATGTATGATAGTACAATGTACCATCTACTTTTCACTATTCATGTTATAAGTGCCATGTAATAGGGTTGAGCTTATTGGCATATACCGGACACATTTCCAATCTCCGTGCTACTACTAATGAGATTTTTTTTAACCCAGCAATACTTTGACCAACCCGGGAAGTCCGACCGTGCAATCGCACTTGCGAACCACTCGGCCAACGAGGCAGTCCAGTAACCATGAAGATTGAAGATATAACAGAAAAATTAGACAGAAAACGATAAGTTGCCCTGATGGCTACCGTACCTACACCGTTATATACTATGAAGTAATTTGTTCATTACAAAGTGTAGATAGACAAGTAACGACATGGTTACTCTTTTTCCTTTTTCCAATTTTTGGTAAAAATAAACATAACATAACATGTTTATTTTTACCAAAAAAAAATAAAAAATAAACATGTTATGTTATGTTCCATTAATACGAACCCTACCATAATATAGGTAGGTACGCAACAACACGCGTCAAACATTTTTAAAGATAGCGCTGTAGGTCGCCATTAAACTATTATTTCCTTGTGCATTTGTGTTTATTAATGAATCATAAAAATGAACGTTAGTAATATTTAGGTACAGGATAATAACAGTAATTAACCACGAAAGTACATCACACATTCCGTTGTTACATTTCATTTTGTGGTAATATATTCATTTTTTAAAGCTCCGTATAAGTAAAAGTAGGCAAACAACAAAACTATACTGGACTTCAGCAAACACCTTATATTATTGCAACTGTTGTGGGAGAGCCATGCTTCGGCACGAATGGGCCGGCTCGACCGGAGTGATACCACGGCCTCACAGAAAACCGACGTGAAGCAACGTTTGCGTTGTGTTTCGTCGTGTGAGTGAGGTTACCGGAGACCCAATTACCTTCCCCTTCCCCAATCTCCCCAATCCCTGAATCCCCAACGATCCTCAAAGTCCTAATCCCCAAAAAGCTGGTGACGCACTTGTAACGCCTCTGGTGTTCCAGGTGTCCATGGGCGACGCCGATTGCTTACCATCAGGTGATCCGTCTGCTCGTTTACCGGCTTATGCCTTAAAAAAAAACTAAAAGTTTACTTTTAAGAGAGATATTACAAAAGACCTTATCTGACCCTTACACAGCATTGAAACTCAACATGAAATCTCAATTTGTTGTTTAAGAACAGTTACTTCATCTTTTAGGGAACAGAGAGTAAAGTTCCCTAAGATCGGAAAAGGAGGACCCTCCGTCCAGGCGAGGTGATCGTGCCTGGCGGGCTTTCTGCCCTGCAGTTGTTCGTTGGGATTTTCTACCCGTGTTAATTTGCATGTAAACTTTGCATGTGCGATGTAGGATTTTTGTGACGTCATCCGTTGACATGTACCACGTGTCGCCACAATCTCTTACATTGATACTAATAAGTGGGTAAGTGTGTGTATGTTTGTTTGTCCGTGTTTCACGGCAAAATGGAGCGATGAATTGACGTAAGTTTTTAAGTGCTACCGTATTTTTTGTAGTCACTCTGGCTCTCCAGAGTGACTACAAAAAATACGGTAATAATTTACGGTAGTAATGTTTTGTGACATAGGCTACAAAACATTACTACGCTACGAATAGCTATTGGCTACATATTATAGTAGGCATATCTAGATACATACAGGGTGACTTGTAACTCGACGTATTCCTCTCGGGAGGTGATAATACAACTGATTTCCTACAAAATTAGCCCTGAGGTCTGTGGTCCGAAAGTGGCCAGACTAAGATATTCAACATTTTCGTTTTTTGTAAAAAATCCCGATCGAAAAAAAATCCATAAAAAACTACTGATTTGATTTAACTGATTTTAATTATAATTTGTTGTAAATACATCAATAAACATTTGTTAATACTAATACTGGTAGAAATATCATTCGTTTTAAATAGCAAGTAAATTAGTATCAAATTTTGTTTTAAGTCAGTAATTTGGTCAATAGAAAACTGCATTTAGTTTAAAAAATTAATATTACACTAAGCGAACAATCTATTAGAAAAACTTCCTTGGTTTGTTAGCTACCCAAAAATACGAAATTTATACATATAATAAAATCGTAGAAAAGTCAAATTTTGCATGCATATTACTAAGAGGTCGAGTCAACATATTAACACGCTATCGTGTACGGGGGAGGAGTTGTGAATCACAATTCCACGCGAACGAAGTCGCAGGCAACAGCTAGTTATTTAAAATATAAAAAAATAAAACGTGTTGTAACTCAACACTGTGGTTTTAAATTCTACCGAATGTTTTTTCCCCCTTAAAAAAAGGTCCTAGATATGTCCTGTTTATGAACTAACTATCGTGAGATATACTGAATTAACTAAAAGTACTAGTATATAAGCTGTGCGACATCGCCGTGACCGCACTCTGCTCATAAGGAAGAGTCCCTCTGTGACTCGAAACTAGTAGAGCTTTTCTCAGTATTTACGTGAGAATCTCGTAATTTTTAGTTAGTTCAGGTCCTAGATTGTTAGGTTTAATTCGGTTAAACACTATTCGACTGCACGGTTGGCGCAGTGCCTAGGCTGCTTGCCGTGCAACGTGTCGCGGGTTCGATTCCCGCACCGAACAACTTTTTATGTGATCCACAGATTGTTGTTTCAGGTTTGGGTGTCAGGTGTATGTGAACTTGTATGTTTGTAAACGCACTCACGACACAGGAGAAAATCCTAGTATGGGGCAACGTTTTAATTAAAAGAGATAAATAAAAAATACTTTTCAATAAAGTATAACGTTATTAGTCATGTACCTACAAGCTGACGAACACATTGCCGATAATGAGAGTTCCTAAATGTGGAAATACCATAACTCACTTCTGTAGTTCAGTAGTGGACGCTTCACTAAAATATTTGTTTACATTTTAATAACAAGTGCGTCATAGGAGCTCGCAATGTGTATAAGGAAGATGTACGTTTGTGTTAAACTGTAAACCTATTGTCATAGGTAATAATAAGATGTTATTTTATCCTAGAACATTTTAGTTAAATCATTTGTTTGTTACTAGTCGCTTTAAATGAATTAATTTTCAATGTGAATCTGTCATTCTCACTAATTATCCTGCTGACAGACACGTAGACACATCAAAATGGAGTGTAAAAATATAAGTTCCAAAATAATTATATTGTCAATAGTTGTGACTGTTTTGTGTATTGTTCGACCGACAATCGGTATTGATATACCAGAAAAAAATCGTTCAAAAATAAAAGTGAATAAGTGTTGTCCTTTAAACGAACATGTAGGAAATGGTAAGCAGTGTAAATTAAGTGAGAAAACGCCTAGTTTGCTTGAGATTCCGGTATATATTGATGAGAAACTTAAGCAGTCGGAGAAGCCGTTCAAAGATCTGTTTGAGCTGGCTCCTAATAGATTTATAATGAACAATTTCCAAAGTGACGCTTTCAGACCCTTTCTGTTTGGTTACAAGGGATATCTAGTGGTGGTAAGTTTCTTTTTATTCAAATGCTTTGATTGATTTACCTGTTATGTTTAACTTTTCAGAAAATTAGTTTCAAACAAAACATTAAATTTTGTTGACATACAGACACATATGAAAATAGTTATTAGGTATATGGTATATCCCACAATAGGGATGATGACAAGATATGATAATTAAAAATCGAATTTGTCCGTCAGTCAGGTAATGAAAAAAATATTAGACACGTATTTTTTTTATTTTGTCATATAAGAAAACAATATTTAGATAAAACGAATCAAAGTCTACGTGTGGGAGGTAGCTACGTCATTTTAGAGTATACATCGTACTCAAAAGTGACGTCATGCGATATTTCAAATCAATAGTTACATCTTTGAAACTATTCGTATCCATAAGAAAATAAAAAATACGTGTCTAATATCATTAAATCTACATCTATGTATATTTAATGATATTAGACACGTATTTTTCATTCACGTATTAAATAAAATAGAAATTAGTAATCTAGCCAATTGCGATCAACCATCGAAAGATGGGTGTGGCATTTCCTACACTTTCACAATAACCCTGCGATCCACAATTTACATAACTAGCTTAGGAACAGAGACAAACCCGGTCTTGATGGGGAATCCTTTTTACTTTTATTTCAACCATCTAATAAACTTCAGCCAACATGGGAGAAATAGAAAAGTACATTTTCATTATGTTACATATATGTTTCGCCAGTTGTGTTATAACTTTTCGTGTAACATGAGGAGAGCCATAATACCATGCTGAGACAAAAACTGAGGTTTTTTCACACACTCACACACACACACATTTCAACACCTTATAAGTGGCCACTGCTGATTCTCTAGTCAGTAGTGGCCACATGTGTATTCATTCACACATGCTCACACCATTTTCCGTGTGAGAAGAGGCGCATTAATCACCACGCTTGCTCAATGCTGGCTAGCAATTTTAAACTTATAATTAGAAATCAAAAAGTCCAGGTTTCCTCACAATGTTTTCCTTTAAAAAACGGTGAAACTCACTTACGGAAAACTTTCTAAGGCTATTTACACACCACTGTGACTCGGAAAAAGTCACATTGGTGCATGCTGTTGATAGGTTTCCCCTAGGAAGCATGAAAAGTGGACGTCTTAGACTTCCGGGCCACCAAGACATTTTTTTTTCTTTGAGGTTTTTTTACTAAACTAATAAGATAAAGAAACCTTTGCTGGGCACTTACGTTTGCGCGTATTGAACGTAGAAAGCCAAAGCGATGTTACAATTTATATTCTTACCGCCGTACCCAGTGTCATTTAATGGCTATTTGACCCAGTCCTTAGCAAGTGTTTTCGGAAAAATTCATTACTAAGGAATAGTTCAAGTAATCATTAATGAATGTTTCTAAGTACGGCAGTTTATTTTTTTATGATTTCAGGACGGTACACTTCTAGTAGATGCTCCCAACAGACACAATCGTTGGATAAAAATACGTCCAGGCAACTACTGTGTAGACTTCTTCCATGGAACAAATTCTACTGAGTTCACACTGGATTTTTGGGTGCTGTTTCCTGCCAAAACAAAATCAGAAACCAACTTTTTATTGACTATAGGTACTTATAAGAATATTATAAATCATAATTTACTTGACTATGTTCATTTAGTTAAAAGTGCCATCTATGATTGTAAAAAGAAATAAATGTTTTTTAATCCATTAGTCGATTAAATAAAATAAATACTATCACTTATTTATTAATAGTATTTATAAGAAAATTAAATAATTAAAATAAAAAGGAAAGTACATAGCTATAATGTATAATTAAGTCACCTTTTCATGTTTAACTATGAGCCTGGTGGTTTCGTAACTTAATTTGAAAAAGGCAAGAGAATGTTTAAGAAGTAACTTGAGCTAATATATGATCGTCTCAAAGTATACCTTAATGGTACAGTGTAGACCTAATCTAGGAAAATATCAGAAGCGAATTTGTCCCTGTTCGTGGTATATTAATAACCACATTTGTTATTCGAGATATTGATCTATCTCTTCGCCAAAAATCCAATACCTTTCGCAGTTTTTTCGTGAAATAGTAACAATTTAACTTATACTTTCTAAAGTTCCATTCTTCCTCACAATCGCATTGAAAATATTTATTTATTTTCAGCCATGATAGTCCCACTGCAGGGCAAAGACCTCCCTACCCTCCTTCCCCTCCTCTCTATGTAAAGCTTTTTGGGGCCAATCCTTGTCATAGATGTCTAATTTACCCCGCAATCTCCTTTTGGGCCTGCCGCCGCGATATACAACATGTAACGTAATTAACGCACACCCTCAAACACCCCAATTAGAGTATTATGTTATAATCATAATGCATAAACTAAATTTTTAATTTAACATGTATATGCGTCCTTACTGGTCTTGTCACAAGGTTTATTTTTCTTTATTTTGTATTGAATGATAGAATTTGTATGAATACAAATAAAACTGCGATTTTAAAAGTCTTATTGCTTTGACTTACGGTCCATTTCGATTTGTTTTAACAATACAGGGTTAATATGACAATAATTTCCGTAGTTTTAATTATTTTTGGGTTAAAAAATTACCTATACAAAAATTATATAAATCGATTCAGTTAACGATTCTGAACAAACTATTTTCAGGATGTGCGTTATTTAAGTTACATGTTGTATATATATATTGATAATATTAAGTAGGATTTAAGTTATATCTTTTAAAATGTATTTTTTCCGCAGCGACGCTGATGTCCTGCTTCTTTATGCTACTGTTCCTCATAGTCTACTTCTTCCTACCTGAACTCCGAGATGAGAAAGGTTACATTCAAATGGCGTATGTTGCCAGCCAGCTAATGGCGTTCCTGCTCCTATCTATGATACAAATTTCTGGATTATCTGTGGCAGAATGTGTTGGATTAAGTAAGCGTTTTTTTTTTTAAATTAATACAAGTAGTTTGCAAGAGTGTTGCTAAAATGTATTTGTCAGGTAATAATATGGCTGGTATTCTTTTTTCAAAATTCTTAACAGCAGCACAAAGTCTGCAACACTGTCTAGTAAAAAACAACCTTATCTCGGTAGGAGTAAGGTTTACTAAACATCTGCAACTCCCGAGGTAACATTGTTTACAGGTTAATGAACTTTGGCATTTATCTCAAGTAATAATACGTGTATACGTTTACTTATTTGCTGAACCTTCATATTTTTATTTCAGCTCTGGGCACCTACTTCTTCTTCTTGACAACTTTCTGTTGGATAAATGTACTGTCTTTCGATATCTGGTGGCATTTCAGGTAATTAACCATGTTTTCGTATTACAATCCCATATAATAATTATGTATTTCTTATGGCAAACGAGCAGACCGATCACCTGATGGTAAGGCCGTTGAGCTGTGCCTGTTATTTCATAAGACCTGTATTATTATTACCTTAACATGCAAATAAAGACTTTGAGTTTGAGCAATCGGCGTCGCCCATGGACGCCCGGACCAGCAGAGGTGTTACAAGTGGGTTACCAGCCTTTTTGGGGATTAGGAATTTGAGGATTGTTGGGAGTTCGGGGATTGGGGAGAGGAGTAATTGGGCCTTCGGTAACCTCGCTCACACGACGAAACACAACGCAAGTGATGTTTCACGTTGGTTTTCTGTAAGGCCGTGGTATCACTCCGGTCGATCCGGCCCATTTGTGTCGAAACATGGCCCTCCCACATCTCCCACAACTGTATAGGGTGGCCTAGCATTTTATTTGAAGTTATAAATATGTAAACAAAAAAATACTAAAATCCGACCAAGTGCGACTCAAACCAGCTCTGAACCATTGACTAGGTAAAAGTTTAATGATTCTTGTTTGCTGTTAGTTAAACAAAACATTATTTTTATTACAGAAACCTCGCAAAGAACCGCCAGTCTCGTCGAAGGAAATCATTTAAGTTTACATTTTACTGCTTATATGCTTTGGGGCTACCATTACTGATGACGTTCGCACTGGGTATGCTCAACTGGTACAGGGAGAGTATGAAACGGTATCCATGGATCGTAATACCACATATACCTGAAGACGGTTGCTTTCTCCGAGGTAAGCTTGTATTTTAAATGCGGCGGTAGATGTCACCATACAACTAAACTTAGATAAAGTGGGTGCTGGCTGGCTGGCACGTTATTTGATTTGTCCTTATTTATTGCAAAAAAAACGATAGGTGTAACTACAATATTTTTGATAAACTGCGTATTTTTAACAAAACACAAATAAGGAAAAATAACAGACAGGAAATGATAAGAAGTGAATGATGATGATAATTTATTTATTTTATACAAAGTATTAAATAACTAACTAATATTAAATAGCTCAAATTATGCTTTGTTTACATTATTCGCAACAGGTGGCACTACATGCTTATATTAATGTCTTTTATTTTTAAATTTTCGACTTTATTTTTTTTTATTTATTTATCTTTATCTCACACAGGTAAGTATTTTATAATCTAAGCCCCACAAAACCGTTGTAATGGTTTGACTGCGGGGTCGAGTCGCTAGACATTATAATTAAATGTACTTATATTTAAATGTTATACAGGCGTTGAAACTTATACTTACTTATTATTAGGACATTTCTAAATAATATGACTTTAATTTTCGTTTAAACCTATTTGAATTTGTTTCACTCCTTATGTCTGCCGGCAGACTGTTTAATAGATACGGTATTTATGCCCATACAATAAAGATGAAGATGTAATAAAGAAGAGACTATGGGCATTTTGGGGCTCATTTTCTACATTGCTCAATAGTGATTAATTATATCTCATATGTAAGCACGTAACTTTATTTCATTAGGTATATGGCAGCTAAGCTCAAATACAGCACGAAAGTGGTGTTGTCGCATTTTAAATTCTGTGTTCATATCATTACAGTGGAAAACAAAACCGCTTTCTGTTGTCTGTCCTTATTCTAATGCGGTTTTTCATATACAGAGTAGTTCAAGAAGAAAATGAGCATGTATTCCTCTGTCAAGAAAGTACCGGGAAGAGATCAATAATACACAAAATGTCTGTTATTCATCCAAATTTATTTTATCACCTTCAAAGTATACTTCTATAGAAACGATACACTTGCATCCATTCATCAAGACATTTTGTAAACTTCTGGAATTGAGTCCAGTTCTCGTTTTAGTAATATCATATATACACCACTAGATTTTGCCCGCGGCTTCGCTCGCGTCACAAAAGGATAAAAAGTAGCTTATATGACATATACCATTACACACAGCGTCATCTATACCAATAATTTTGTTTTCCCTCGAGAATATCAAATTTTTCCGGGATAAAAAGTACCCTACTATTTAATTCAAACTTCTAACTGTACATCTGCAAAAACTCAAAGCAATCGGTTTAGTAGTACGGCGTGAAAGCGGAATAAACAAACAAACAAACTCACTTTCCGATTTATAATATTAGTAAGGATATATTTATGATATGACTAAAATTAGCATTGTATTTAATATAAATAACAGATGCAACTCAAACTCCGCGCCAAAATGGAAAACAGTTGTGCCAATCTAACAACTACAACAAAAAACAAAAAATTTGAATTTGAATTTGGAACCATAAACAAATGAAATGATCCATTCCCGATACTTTTTTGACTGAATGTATAACACCCATAAAATTATAGATAAATATGGTTATTTTTGTTGTGTTACACACAATTAGTGCCTTAAAGTAGTTTGATTTAAAGAAGTCAAACGAATAGGGATTCAGTTTAAGCTTACCTAGTCTCCTCTTGTGTATTTCAGATTCAGTGAAAATGCTCTACCTATACACACCTATGATGATAATAATCATTATCAATTGGACATTCTACGTGATAACTGTGTTCAACATTTGGCGATGGAAGAGAGGCACTCAAGTATTTAATGGAGTCAATGAACTAAGTCATCGTACTGATTTCAGAAGGTGCGTATAAATAAGAAAATAAATAAAAAAATTGTCCGAAAAAATCAAAATCAAATTTAACATAAATAAAAAAAAATCAAAATCAAAAGTAATTTATTTGTCTGAACAAGGTATACAGTGGTCACGTTATAATTAGTTACTTGCCTCAATCAAAAATAAATTATTTCGACTGTTTAATACAATAAAATATGAAAAAATAATCACACTTTAATTAATTGATTTTATAACTAACTTAATCTCAGTATTTTTCCAGCAAATTTTTAAGAGTTGCTGTTTGACGCTAAAAAAACGTGACGTCACAATACACAATCTCGTACAAAATTCATAGATAACTGACGTTTTTGACAGTTCCTTCGAAAAAAGTATTGATTTTGACTAGTTGGCAATTACTCAATTATAGTGTCTCTTATTCTGCCCACAGTTTGGGCGTGGAACTTATTCTGCCCACAGTTTGGGCGTGGAACTTATTCTGCCCACAGTTTGGGCGTGGAACTTATTCTGCCCACAGTTTGAACTTTTAAATGGAAGTTATAGTCATTAAAACTATATAGTCAAACAAGATACCTATGTCATATTAACTGAAAAAAATGTTATTAAAACCATGTAAAAAAAATCTTGTTTAATCTATAACTCACTTGCATTCACTGTTGAGTATTAGCTTCTCCCTTAATTACTCTATTGAGATAAATCTTTGACTCTTTGTATTGCCACATAACCGATCGATCCTCGATTGAACCCATCGATCCTCGATTGAACCCATCGATCCTCGATTGAACCCATCGATCGAAATTGGTCGATGTTGATCGATGAGATGAGATAAGAAGTGTTTATTAAAAGTTCTTGGTATGCTTTCAGTTTCATTATCTACATAAAGCTGTCAGTTGTTATGGGTCTAAATTGGCTCTTGGAGATAATAAGTTTCAATTACCCTAACAATAAGTGGTACTACATTACTGATGTATTCAACATACTAACGGGACTGACGATATTTATCATATTTATATGCAAGAAGGATGTCTGGATTAAACTACGGAAAAGGTAGATAATATTATTTTATGTGACTGCCTGCTATCGTTGGCCGAGTGGTCGCTAGTGCGACTGCCGCTCAACGGGTCTCGGGGTTCGATTCCCAGGTCGGGCAACGTATTACTGGGTTTTAAAAAATTCTCAGTGATAGCACGGAGTCTGGAATTGTGCCCGGTATATGGCAATAGGCTCACATGGTGTTACATTATACAGTGGCATTAAGTGCCCCTTTGGGGATAAAAGGCGTGATGTTATGTTATGTTATGTTATGTTATGTTATGTCATTATTTTATGTGCACTTGGGAGCAAAAATACAGAGCCATCAGCATTAAATTTTTTCCTTTTTCATTTCTTCATAAATATTTTCTCATAGCTACAAGTAGGTATTTTATTGATTGATATCGTATGTCGTATGAAAGGCAATTTAGTTATCATTAAAATAAGAAGCAATTTACTGTAAAAATAATAATTTCAGTAAATCTTTTCATTTGGAATAAATTAATAATAAAATATATGTGTAATATTTTAACGTATTCGCTACCAGACAGATATTTAAAAAAATAACTCTCAACTAAAATCGCGGGTTACTCACGTGAAAAAAAGAACGAAAGAAAGAAATGAAAGAAAGAACCCCTGTGTGGTTCGAAACTAGTAGAGCTTTTCTCAGAATCTCCTCTGAGTGATCCGCGATTATTAGTTAATTTTGTATGTCTCACGATACTTATTATTTAAAAAAGTATTTTTTGTTAAAAAATTATCATTGTCAATAATGCAAATTATTTTTACAGATGCAATGAATTGAGAACACGATACAAAAGGGGAGGATCCTCGAATTCACAAAATGTTAGACTTTCCAGACAACAACCAGCTAATTCTGCCTATGAAGCTGTCAATCTAAAACCATAATTTTAACAATACATACTTCCGATAAGAAGTTAGCAAATATCTGCATGTAGATCTATATCACTACCCGCCTTAATATTCAAAAATGGTGACAAAGGCGATTGAGAAAGTCGTTTTGTTCACTGCTAAGCAAAGCCTCTTCTCACGCAAAGAGGGTTTAAGCATTAATCTCCACGCTTGCTCAATATAGGTTGGCGATTTCAAATTTATAAATAGAAATTATAAGCCGAGGTTTCCTCACGATGTTTTCTTCACTGTTTGTCAGTGGTGTCTAAATAATCTTAGAAAGTACACATAACTCGGAAAAACTCAGATTGGTACTTGCCGTTGGTAGGTTTCGAATCCGCACCCTTATGCATAAGAAGCGGGCATCTTGAACCTCCAGGCCATCACATTACGCTTGAAATATGCAGCAATTGGGTACTTCCCTAAGTCAATACAATAGAATATTTAAAAAAATAATCACACTTTCATTAATTGATTTTATGACCAACTTAATTTTAGTATTCTTCCAGGAATTTTTTAAGAAATGAGTATGCTGTTTGATTTTAAAAAACGTGACGTCACAAACCACCATCCCGTACAAAATTCTTAGAAAACTGTCGTTTTTGACAGTTCTAGACTAGTTGACAAGTCCACGATTAGCCCTTATTAGTTTTCCGTTATGTGGTGTCAGTTAGATAAAATAACGAAAGGACAATGCGTAACCAAAACCGAATGTATTTAATCTGAGCCCACCCCTTAATAGCAACATGTAATACACTGTTGGATAGGGCTTTTTAAAAGGAACAATAGTTACTAATATACCTATGGTCAAATATAAATGCTTTCGGATATACAACGTCCTGAAGTCATCTCAGCCTAAAGTATTCTCTATAGAGATTTTTAATTTTTTTTATTTTATTTTATGAATGCTCCTCTCTACTATTATAAAAGGATAGTAGAGAAGATCGTTGCTAAATAATACCACGCATGCGGGTCAATCTCGAAGGCTAAGCTTTGCATGCCAAGGTTATTTTTTGGATGGGTAGCATTTTATAATCGAACTGCCGTTCTAGTAAGTTTTAGTAGAAGTAGTAGGAATGTAAATAATGAGTTTTGAAATGTTTATCTTGTATATAAGTTAATTACGAACACTAATTTAATTAGGTAGGTAGTTATTTAACTATCGTTGTAGGTCAAATAAAAATCATTTATGGTATTTCACACAGAACATATAAAGAAGGTTTTATATGTTCTGTGGTATTTCTGCATTTATGTAGGCAATCTATGGTCGAGATAACATGCACAGTGCAATACTTTAAGCTAGGTTTGGTAGCTTTGTGTTGGTCCTGGGTTTTTTGTATGGAATTTTCCCATTGTCCTTTATACCTATTTCTTTATTGAAACAATGAGTTTATTTTTTTTCTTGTATAAAAGCTTTTTTTTGTATTTTTGTGACTTGTAAAAAATATATTTGTAAAAAAAATTATATATCTATATAAATTGATGCTTTTATACAAGAAAAAGTATACAGTATACATATGTGAGCACCATGTTAGACTATAAAATATTTATTTTTTCTTTGTTTTGTTTTTTATGTTAGTATGTTCTGTGTGTAATTTGTAGGTATTATGCGTGTCTTTACATTGTTCTCACATATATGTACAATATAGAAATATGTATCAGAGATTGTAAAATCTGTTTTACTAGTTTTGACTTTCAGATTGTAGAACGAGTTCACTTCACTGACAAACTATTACTTATTTTATATTTGTTGATATTTCAAATGCTTTTGAGTTTGATTATAACAAGCGTCTACAAAAATAATAATGCACGATTTTTATTAGTCACAAATAGTCGGCATACCAAAGGAGAGCAGCAAATCCTGACCTTGACAGACAATAAATCATCCCAATCTCCCCAATCCCTGAATCCCCAACGATCCTCAAACTCCTAATCCCCAAAAAGCCGGTGACGCACTTGTAACGCCTCTGATGTTCTAGGTGTCCACGCCGATTGCTTACCATCAGGTGGTCCGTCTGCTCGTTTACCGGCTTATGCCATAAAAAAAATGAATTAAAGACTTTGGTAGCTTGTAAGAGTTTTTTAGGCTTTGAGGAAAGATAGGTACCTATAGAATTTTTAAATGGCTGGTTTGTATTGAATTAAATAGGCTCCGAAACTACCGGACCGATTTGAAAAATTGTTTTTTATTTTAATGAAATCCTACATTTTCCGTGGTGAACATAGGCTATGTTCAATAAGAGACAATAAAGGAATCGAGTTTTAACCGCTGTACCTATTTAAAACAATGGTTTGCAACCTGGGAAAGGACATATAATAGTTTTAGAACTGAAATCTATACGGGTAAAACCCCTGTAGAACTCTTTGTTTTGTGAAATCATGAAAATTTATTTATTTTCACATGTAATAAAATCATAGGAAAATCAAACCTGTACATTGAATTTTTTTTTAAAGAATTCTTGTAGGGTGATCTTGTCTGTATATATGTCCGGGATTAACTCAAAAAATACTGCATGGATTTATTTAAAATTTTGCATGAATATCACTAACAGGGATTATATAGGCTACATATTATCACGGTCACATCTGTGGTGGAGCAACTGTGAATCTTTATTTCTCTAACGCATTCTGTGACAGGGTGTAACCTAGTGACACATATTTAAATGTTGTTTATTGAGTAGCTTAGCCACGTTTTTATCTAGCTTTACTCTAAAAATCTCGACTTTAAATATTTTAAGGAAAAAATGCGAAGAACATATTTTACTATTGTAAATTGTCCTGTTACAGTCGACTACCTCTTGGTAAAGACTAATTCAAAAGTCCAAATTCTGTTAAAATTCTACGCAGGCGTAGTCGGGTAACGGCTAATTTTGCAATAAATAAAACTTAGGTCCTGGGTCGATTCTGATAAGATTTGTGACACTGCATTGAAATTAATCTTGAAATAGACTTATTAAAAAATCCAGTTCTGCTAAAAATCATTATTATACGCGGACGAAGTTGCGGGGAACAGCTAGGTGTATGATTATTTTCAGCGTTATGTGGTCTTGTGGTGTGATGACATGTACTTATGGTTACTTATAAACATATATGTTGATTAATTTAATTAAAATAAATATATTATTATTTTGGTATAGATACCTAATTTGATTTTGTACCTATTTATTTATAATAAAGTTACATTAATTTATGTAATATATTTTATTATTATTCATTTTAAAGCTTGGAAATTTTATTCGATTTTAAATTAATTATTATTGAGTATTATTTTTAAAGCCGAACGTTGATAACACTATTTATATCGTATAACTTTAATATGAAACATACTTATTAATAATATGCTATTTGCTCGCTATTCAACTTTATACATAAACCAACTATAGGTCATATAAGAAAGCTCAAGAGTCCTCAGCGCGCTATGGAACGCGCTATGCTTAGTATTTCTTTGTGTGATCGAAACAGAATTGAGGAGATCTTCAAAAAACTTAAGTCACCGATATAGCCCAGCGGAATAGCAGCTTTAAGTGGCTATGGACAGGGCATATAGCTGCACTAACGCTGGGACAGAAAGGTTCTCGGAGGCCACTTACTTAGAGGTACAATCTGATCACGGATCATCACGGACTGATCTTAGGAATTATTTACTTTTGTTCATTATAGATCAGTCTCAACGAGTTGTCATCGCACACCAAACAAGCACGTGTCCAACCCAGCAATTAAGTTATCATTTAAATATGAACTTTAAATCGTATGTCATATGATATATTTCAAAACTTTAATACAAAAAGCCTACGGCGGGTTTTCAGATCGCAGTCGTCTCGAGATGCCAACGAGCCGCCAGCGAACCGCCAACGAGCCGTCACATCGTCCGTCGTAGTGACAAAAATCTTCCATCTCGCGGTCGGCGGCGCACCGTAAGCGCGCTGTCGGCTAACGATAGACAAATTCGAAACCGCGGTATGCCGGAGCCGTGCTTGTTCGATGTGCGACCTTTACTTATTATGTAAAAGCCTATAGGTAAACGTTACATCTTTGAAGTCATCAACACTCCAACATCAACCAAACAAATGATTCTTTTGACGAGTCCGGCTACTTGTTATTCAGGGTGTCCATGAAATCATCATCGAAATGGAACTAGGTGATCGTCAAGATTCCAACAGTTATCAAAAAATATATAAAAAATATTAAGTTATCTAGTTTTACATTATAGTGATTTATGTGGAACAGTACACCCTCTGTCAGTCTTTAGACTCGTGTTACTAGAAATCTTAATTATTTCGTTTGTATTCTTGCTACCGTTCGTTATCTGGAAAGTGTTTCAGTAATGTGAAACACCAAAAATAGACCTTATTGGGGCACATGCCTTACTTGAGTCCGGACTATATATACCTCTAGTATATTGAAACTAGCTGACCCGGCAAACTTCATATCATAAAATTTTTCAAGACCAAAATTATCCAAATCGGTTCAGCCGTTCTCGAGTTTTAGCGAGATTAACGAACGGAAATTTATTTTATTTATTTATTTAAGTTTTTTACAATACAATTGCATAAGGAGGACTTAATGCTAACAGCATTCTCTGCCAGTCATCCTTTGGGTAGTGCAGAAATGTATGTGGTAGGTGGTAAGCTACAAAAATGTTCGTGGTAATTATCCAAATTAATAAAAGAGCATCAAAGCATACATAAAATACGTATAAAATCATACATATATATAGATCGATATATATATCATCATACATATAAATCTATCTATGAGCCGTATATAAATTTATCCTATAATAAATATAATAAAACAAGATGAAAACTAATAAAGGATGTTATAAAACTGCCAGCTTTCCGCTAATGTACTCACGCGCCCTCCGCTTGAAACTCAAACGACTGTATTTTCATTTATATAAATTAAACATGAACCGCTTTTCCTCGTTTATGTTTAAATTAGTAAATAAAGTTTACTTACTATATTTGTACGATTCCTTATCATTGTCGACATTTAGGTACTAATTTCAGAAAGTAAAGCCATTATTAATTTATACACCGTTGCGAATACTTGTCATCATGTATTACATTTCGTTATTTATATTTTTTCTAATCGTGTTTACTACGAGTGCTGGTACAAATCATGGGACACCATACAGTTATATCAACAAATGTTGCCCAAATGATTACGTGGTCGGTTTTAATAA